AAACATTGATAAACAGCATCTAGTGAGTGTAGTGCTTATAACATTTTATTAATGTAGCAAAATGCTGCTGTTCTCTTTAAACAATGAATTCCTCTAATCAGTACGGATGCTCACATCCAGCATAAAAAAGGGCATATGGCATAGCACCAATGACACCCGGCCAATAGTGTCCCTACCAGAGTTCAGATCAAACCTACACCCTTGGGATGCAGTGATCATGACCCTCAGTCTTAAAGCACACCACAGATAATAAAACACAAAGATGAATCATTCTTCTCACCATTAACTTGACCTCAACTTTGAGGCTACATGCAAACCTGGTGTAGATAAAAAATATATCAATGTAAGAATCAAACCAAATCAGCTCCAATAAGGAATTAATTCATGGAGTCTGTCAATGCTCCCATGGATGACACCCGACACAAAGTAAATATGGGAGTCCTGCAGAAATGCCAGAGATAAAAACAGCACAGTGTAATCTAAGTGAGAGATGCATTGAACTGATAACACAATGGCTGCTGGCTGCCATGAGGTCATTTGCATGTACAATGTCAAGTTTTTGAACATAAAGCATCATTTTCAACTTTAGGTTCTGATTGTAAATCACTGAAATGGAAACAGACGCCTGAGAGAAAAAGGATGCTAACTCTGTATGATTCATCATGTCCAACAAAAACAACATGAACCTGCTAATGAACTCATACTGAAGCAGTTCTGCTTCAACAATTTCATTCATTTTCCCAATTATTTCAATATTGATCTTTAATTTGCACCTCTACAACCTGCCTTTCCTTTTTCTTTCTTTAAACAGAAAAACAGCTGTACATACAGCCACATGGAATCTTTATTTAGTTTCTCTATTTTTTCTGTACCAACAATTCGTGTCGACACTTGGGAGCAAAACTGTCAATTACAGTTACTTTGATGAGGAGGAAAAATCTAAAATAAAAAAAACAACAACAAAAAACAAAACAAAATAGACTGATAAAAAGAGCACCAACAACTGTCAATATAATGCTATGTTCACACCTAAAGCAGCAGAGGCAGCAGAAGCAGCTAGTTTACATGCAAAGTCAATGGTTGACATGCATCAAGGCGCAGCAAAAGGGCCTGCAGCAGGTTTTGAGCAGCAGGAGCAGAAACCTCACTAGCTTCTGAGCATCTGACGCGTGGGACACACTGCGAAGCAGCAGCTGCTAGAGTTGGAAAAATTGAACTTATGCTGCTTGACGCGCCACATTTATCGATCAGAGAAGCTGAACTGGGAGCTGGCAGGGCCGGGTTCCCGCGGGTCCTTAAAAAGTCTTAAAAGGCATTGAATTCTTCAAAAT